TTATATAAATCGAACCCAAGTTATCGATTAAGTCTAGTTAGAACTTAATCGGTTCGACCGTTATTGAGATCTCAAAATCTCGGGTGCTCGCAACGCGACGTCTCGCGTTAAGAGACCCGGCATGGCTTGTTTGAACACTTGACACCAAGCCACTACCGTGTCTCCTGATACAATTTTGTATGGCAAAGATAATTGTTCAATTAATATTCACAACTTATTACATTTATGCGATGATGTAAAAACGTTTGGAATGTTACAAGAATACAGTGCCTATCCCTTTGAAAATCATATGCAAAAGATAAAAGGATATATTAGAAAAAAGGATAAACCATTGCAGCAAATAGTTAATCGTGTATATGAAGAAAATTTTGCAGAATTAAGTGAAGAAAATAATTTAAATTTGAAATCAAAATTATTAAATAGACATGATAACGGACCTTTAGGTCAATTTTTGTGTACTAGTCAATGGGAAAAAATAGTATTTTCTAATTTTACTCTAAAAATAAAAGATCCAGATAATTGTTGTAGTTTAAATAATGGTGATATTGTTTTAATTAAAAATATTGCTAGTAACGATAAAAATATAGTAATAATTGGAAATAAATATAAATCAATAAAAGATTTTTATAATGAACCATGTAAGTCTTCTGATTTGGGTATATATTTAGTTGATAACGTTGTTAACGATCTTCAAAGTTGGAATATAAATGAAATATCGCATAAATGTATAAGATTACATTTTAAAGATAAATTTGTTATTTTTCCCTTACTTCATTCCGTCTAATCAAATTTTATAGATTTTAATAATTTTACTTTTATATATTAAAGAATTTTTATTTAGGATTATTTACATGTCATTTTACAATTTATTTTTATATTTTACATTTAAAATTGATAAAAATGAAGATTTTTTTTAAATATTAAATTTATTAATTTCTTAGCATTTAAAAAAATGATAAATAATATATATATTTTAAAAAATATTATAATATTATATTGTTCTGAGAATATATATCTAACAAATAAATTTTACAATAAGATTAAAAGTCGAGTTTCCTTCTGTTCTTTGTTAACGGTTTGATTCCGAATATTTATAACATTTGAAATTATTGATTTGAAGTTGCGTACACAAATTGTTAATAATTTGCAGGAAAAATGGCGAAGACATGGACTATTGTGATTTTCACCGACGAAGATTCTGTTGAAGTAGTTCCGTCAAATTGGATAGTAAATGACAAATGTTATTGGCCATCGACGCTTACATCTGAAAAATTGAAGGCTGCAATAAAACATCACGATGCAGTTAATACTTCTTGGCCTTCATATCCTATCCGGCTTATACGAAATGGAACTTTCGGTAAATATATTATTATTACTTATTGTGTTTTGATGTATCAATTGACGAAAAATCTATTTATTGCATTGTCGTAACGTTATACTTATTTTGTTTTAGATGATTATTCAACAGCAGAAGAAAAATGTAAAAAGGCGGAATATTCGTCCGATGTAAATTCTGACAGATCTAACAATAAGCAGAATGATAGATCTGACAGAAATAAAAGGAAAATAATAAAAAAAACGTTCGGCTCTTCATTTGATGAGGACAATCTATCATCATCAGACGATAACAATAATTTACAGACTAAATTGCCGACTCCTCCACGTTTAACAAATGGTTCGTATGCGTTTATTTATTTACTACATTATAGAAATTTTGTTAAAAATTAATTATCTTATAAATCAAAAGACATGGTAGTATCTGGCGCTATTTTACTTTTTAAAATCTTTAAAATAAAAGTATAAGGTAATTGTTTGGAGACAAAAGAAAACAGTAGCGAACAATTCATAAATTCAAAAAACATTCTATCGTTTTGTTTTTAATTTTTTCTTCCAGACACCAGTACTTTTATAAATAGAACAAAGCCGAAAAAAAGGAGTGAAGCTATTAATAACGATAGAATTCGAAATGAAAAGTTTGAAAGAAACTTATTACAATCAATTGGTAAATTATTTTTTGTAATATATAATTATTAAATCACTTACAAAATTTGAAAGCTTATAATGTATTTTTTGTAAATTTTGTAGATAATAACAAACCTTTGAATGGCAACGATGAATTATTTATAGAACCATTGAATGTTAATGAGCAAGAATGTAAATGTTGTCCCGTACATATAAAACACAACTGTGGTATGTATATGTTATTTGCAATAATTGAATTTGCCCATTGCCCGAATTCTTTAACCAATACGATGTTAGCTTAAATGTCCACAACGCGTTCTGGGTATTTATTTTGGCCACTAAGCGTTGGAAAATACAACGCGTTGTGGCTGAAATAAAGTACCCAGAATGCGTTATGGACATTTAAACTTATCCATATCGCATATTGGTTAAAAAATTCGGGCAATGAGCAAATTTGGCGATTGCAAGTAACATATATTTTATGTACAGTTATTTTCGATAAACTTATCATTAATCTTATTATAAAATGAATTTATTATTACATGTGTTCGACACGATTGATAAATATATTAAACTTTTTTTCCAGAAAAATATTTTAAAGAGATTATCCGCCAACAAAATATACTAAAAGCCAGCATGTGGCAATATACAGATTCGCTTCACGAATTAACCACATCGGTTAATAGTATTCTTACGAATAAGGTAGCTCATCAAGTGGAGGAAACAACAACTTCATTCTTCACAATGTTCAATTTTCCGTTACAAGACGAAGAAAACTTAATCCGCGTTGATGAATACTTAAATGACGAGAAAAATTTTAACGTTGCGGTAATTTTTATAAATGTGTTATTCTCAAATATATGTCACATTTTTATTACAGTGTTACAAATATACTTTATTAATTAATGAAATTTAAGTTCATTATATTATTTTTAATTTGAATTTTACAGATGAATGAACTTGCAAAAATTGGTGGAAGTTCTGTACACAATTTTACTCAAAGGGCTATGCAAATGTTGATTACTAATGACCTTGCAGCAACTTACAGCTGGTTGGGAAGGCGAGCCAAAAAACTTTTAACAAATTAAATTTAGCGGATTTAATAATTGGTAAGTAGTTTTTTAGATTATCTTATTTTTAATGACTTTATTAAAATCATTCTTTCTTTGTAGATTATCAAATATACAAATACAATCTATTTACAATTAACTAATTATTTTTTATCCTGTTTTTATATTATAGGTTCTGTCAAAAAAAGCATCCCAAATTCCACTAATAAAGAGTGCGAAGAAGCAATCCAAAAGTGGTTAAGGAGAGCCAAAGAACGTAGTAATAATAATAGAAAACGTGGAGAGAATAATAATGATATTGAGGAAAATAATCTTTAATTGCACACACGAGAAGTTACTGTGGGAGACCCTCCTACTATAGTGCAGAAACTGCGTGAAGATTTGGCTGAAAATTAATTGGTGAAATCATTTATTAGCAGCAACGTACCACAGAAACTCGCAAACTTAAAGATAGAAACTTAATTATGGACAGAAAAAATTTTTATTTTCTTATTTTAGTTCATA